GCCCCCCCCCCCCCCCGCGCTTCGGTCCACTGACATCCCTAAACATGCATGATAACTACAACTTCTATAACATGATTAAAAATGGATAGTTGTATATCTTATTTTTTGTGTGATTTGGACCGAATTTTTCATATGCAGATGATCCTTATTTCCTAATTAGCATGTGTATAAAATTTGATGGCTTAAAGACGTGTGGTATGATAGGAAAATAAAACCCTATTTTTGGACCTATTGTGGACCCAAAATTTGCAATAAAATTTCATCACACCAAATCTGTTGTTATGTAACTAAATACATATGGTTGGAAAGTATGATGTAAGAGCTTTCCAGTGGTATAATATTTGTACCAAATGGATTTATGTAGGGAGAGATATAATGATGCAAAGTAAGCATGACGAACCAATGTTTTCTGCAACTCCAGAGGATTTTTTGATTTAAGGAAGAAGATTGATTAATAGTACCCCACACACACCTAGGGGCACATGCACTTGTCCCCAACCTCAAATGGTCAAACTACCACCATTCAACTCATCTCATCGTGAGGAATCCATAAATGGTGGCACCACTTTCAAAAAGCCGCCAAAGAGTGAAGGTATACGTGTATCCCCGGCCCAAGAATTATTGGACAAAATGACCAGCATATGAGGCCCACATGCATTCATGGAAAGTGGGGGAGAGTGAGGTGAGTTCTGAAGGTATTTTTTCAACAACTCCGAAGAGTGACCACTTAGAATGTGATCTTCTTTCTAATGGTGGCAGTACTGCAGCACTATGGCAATTCTAATATATCGTACGACATGTATCCAAGGGCTACTTTGTGTTATTCTGAATTTTCTTCAATTTTAGGATTTTTGTGTACCTTCTTAGTGTACATAAGATCATACTTATTGAAATAATAACACTAGAAATATCTGTCTATACTTTCATTTTCAAAACAAAACAACAAAATGTAAAATTTGAAAAAAGAAATATCTACAAATAGAAGTTGTATACACTCTAAAGAACGAAAAACTAAAATGAGTTTTCTGAATACATTTAAAAAAATTTGGGCAAAGATTCCCTTAAAAATTGAACCCCACCAAAAATTTGGCGTGTATACGCAATATCACTCCTAACATATACTCAAGCAAAAGAACCTGTAAACCACATCCAAACTACCAGAACCAAACAACCACAAGAGCAACCAAATAAACCACAATCAAACCACCACAACCATAACCAGCACCCTATCAATATGCATGAGTAGTATTGAAGTTAAAGAGAAAATAAAAAACTACTTGATTACATACAAATGAATAAAGTGATGAAGTGTTCAGTCATGATAAACCTGTGTGCCGAAAGCTGGTTTCTTCCACAATCGTTTAGGATGTCGGACATCCAACTCCGAGGGCTCTACTTGAATGACCTGTCAGACACTTTCTTCGACCGACACTGTAGTCCAACCTCTATCACCTCGGGCTCGAATATGGGACTTAAGATCAACAAATGGAGTGGTATCAACATGTGGCTCACTCTCTTGAGTGACATCCTCTATTGGTGTTGACCTCTCTACAACATGTAGAGGCGATATCAGGAGTGCATCCTCAACTATAGGCTCTATGGGCGATGTAGCTGAAGAGGCATATTATGTGGCTGTGTCTGCCTCATGAATGGGAGCATCAATGACAATGGCATTCTCCTGCGTGACATCACATTCAGGGGGTGGTGTATTCTGAGGTCTGATAAGGGATGCTTCCAGATGAGGTACACTAGGGGCTGGTGTCTGACAAGGTGCACTCAGGGGTGGTGTATGCTGAGGTTCATAGTTGTTAGTATCGTACGATACGCGATACGTAAAATACGATACGTTACGAGTCTAAAACGATACGGATCGTAGTTATGTATCGTTTTCGCGTTGTATCGTACGATACACGATACGTCTTTACAATACGATACGAATCGTTACGATACGCACGATACGTGCAAATTTTTTTTATTTTTTGAAACGACGTCGTTTTGTGCCAAGAGTTTATTTTTTTAATCCCTATAAACACTGAAACAACATCGTTTCAGTGGCTAGGGTTGCAAAAAAAAAAAATCCCTCATTTCTCATATTCGTCGTTCGCTCGTCGATGGTCAGAACCTTAGAGATGTTTGGTTTTTCCTTCAGCCATCAACGACGAGTGTGGGTGATCGCTGTGGGATTTCGTTGTGGGATTTCGGTGTAGGTGATCGATTGTGGGTGATCGACTGTGGGTTTGAGATTTCGACTGTGGGTGATCGCTAGTCTTGGATTGTGGGTGATCGGTGATGGCTGGTTTTCGAAGCTGCCTCCATCGAAGCAGCATCTCTTCCATCAAAGAAGCCTCCATCAAAGCCCAGGCTCCATTGAAGCTCCCTTCTTCCTTCTCCAGGTACTCCATTGTAGCTCTCTTCTTCTTCTTCTTCTTCTTCTTCTTCTTCTTCTTCCTAGTCTCCATCGAAACCTGCGATCCTGTGCAATAAGAAATAATGTTAATTTATTTACAAAGCCAAATATATAAATATATTTTTTTTTTTGTATAAAAATTTCTAAATCTTGATTAATTTTAAACAGTGGAGCCTGATTAATTTCTGAATTTTGGTTAATTTCTCAATCTTGATTAATTTCTCAATCTTGATTAATTTTTTTTTGTATAAATTTCTGAAACAGGGGCATCACTTTCATCCAATTTTCATATAGAAATGACTAAAAANAATTATATATATGTATATAAAATCAAAATTTCTTATCAACTACAAATTTTTTTGCAGATAAAACTAAATTTATGGGAATTTTTTTTGTTCATTTAGGGACTTAGAATGTGGGCAATTAATTGCCGACGAAATAATCTTTTCCTCGGTATAAAACTTCTTTAACTAGCAAATTATTTTCCCAGGTAAAAATTTTCTAGGTAGAAATAGTTTTTGTTGTAGTGATAGGTGAGAAAAGGATACCAAAAAAAATACAAGAAATTAGTCACTCTATCTCCCCCAAAATTTCTTTCTTTTGGACTCACCATCTTGAAGGATTCCTAGGTTTGTGGGTGTGGACTTTGGTATCCCTCTTTTCTACATATTATCAAGCCTTTTAACATCCAAGAATCTCCCAATCAGTAGGATACAAGTGAGGCCCATAAATTAAGTTTATTCGATCCGACTCTGCACATCAAGTGGTAACACGTGTATAACATTTCTTGCTAACAGTGGTATCAAAGCTATATTTCTTACTTACACCTATAGACAACATGCATAGGGATGACAGTGGACCGGAGAAAAAACGGATATTCATCCAAATCTACCCCTTTTGGACCGGGGATGGACCATACGTCTGAATTATGTTAGCTTGGGCTTAGGCTTGGGCGGGTACGGGGAGAGCAGGAACAAGGGCAGGGATTAGAAATTTACCCGCAGACGGGGATGGAAATGAAAACCATATTCATTAGCGGGGGTAAATCGGGAATGGACGAAATTTTTTTAAGCGGGTACAGGGATGAAAACTACACCCCCCGCCCCC